CCCCAAAACCCCAAAACCCCAAAACCCCAAAACCCCTTTTTCATGATCAAAATTGAATTTAAATATTAAAATGATACAGGAAAGAAGAAGGCGAAAACCTAAGAGTGAGTCCGACATCATCTTCGAAGATATGATTGACAGTAATAAATCCAACAAGGCTGTCCCAGTGAGACTACAATGTCGGAAATTAATAGAGTCACCAAAGTGTAGATTCCCTGTTGACCTGATCAATGGAACCTTGACATGAATAATCTCTGCATTCTATTTCTATTCTACCTATGAACCGCACAGATTTGAGAAAGGTCAATTCGACTGGTTCAACTACTTTTCATTCCTAAGCCATTTCTACCTATTCATAGAATTCATCCTAAGGATGTATGTATGCAAGGATATAATGGCTTCTCTGCTGTCAATGGGAAGTTTCCTAGATTTCATGACTACGTTCCCCTATATTGTAGTGCATCTAAGCTACGGGATCACCAGCAATGACTATGACAATGCTGCCGTGTCCCTTACAAAGATGTTTGACACCTGGAGACTGTTCTCTCTGTACAAGTTCTTAAAATACGTTGAAGACGAGGATAATAGGAAACTGCTTAATAATTGCCACACCATTTTCTGCTTGGTGATTTGTTATTCGGCGCTACTGGATGTAGTGGAGGATCCTAACCAGCCATACCACCACACGTTCTTCTTCGTCATGACCACCATCAGTATCATTGGGTATGGGCACGGCATGATCTCTACAGGTGTCAGGATAACTATCATTTGATTAATTATCTGTGGAATAATCATAGTGCCGTCCAAAGCGGGAGAAATTGTCAATCTGATATCAAAGAAGAGCGCTTACGCTGATTATAAGTACAAAATTATTTCTAAAGTTCCCCATGTGGTCATAATCGGGAGTGTTAATTCTAAGAATGCCATCAATTTCTTCGATGAATACTTCCATTCAGACCACGGAAAGGATGAAACCAGGCATTGTATCATAATTAAATCGACCAGGCCGGATAAATAAAATGGAGAGTTTAATCAGAAATGATAAATATCTGTCCAAAGTTCATTATATTGAGGGCAATCCTCACGAAAAGAAGACCTTCAATAGGGCTAGGCTAGATAAAGCTACTCATGTAGTGGTAATGAGCAATATACTTACCTCAGACCCTGCCAAGGAGGATGCTAATACAATCTTGCAAGCAATGGTTTTGAAGAAGTACCTTAAACAACATGAGCATTCTAAGTGTCAGTTGAGACTTCAGCTGCTCAAGCCAGAAAGCATTATGCACTATGAACTTTCTCTAAACAAAGAGACCAAGAATGATCAAATTGTCTGAATCGAGAATTTAAAACTCAGCTTGTTAGCAAAAAGCTGTACTACTCCAGGCTTAATTTCCCTAATATCTAACCTGATAAAGTCCTGTGATGACCCTCCTGAAAGAAACAAGCTACCTAAGGAAAGAGAGTGGGAGTGGCTCACAGAATATTGGCAAGGCAAATCCCATGAGATCTACCGTGTGTTGATCCCTAAGGCTACACTTAGCAAGAACTTCAATGAGTTATCCAACTACATCTACAAAACATACAAAAATATCCTATTTGCAATTGAAATTGTAGAGATGGACAAGGAAAGTGGACCAATCGTTCTAAACCCGGGGACTTTTAACCACCAAATCTTGGTTACCTCAAAGGCTAACTTCAGGTACTACGGTTATATCATCGCTGACAGCCTCGAAGAAGCTGAGAAGATATTTAATGTAGCTGATGCTATCAATAATGAGGAGGCTGATATGTACCTCAACCTTGGCCATATTGACGACCAACTGAGAAAGCAAGACAGCGACAGAAGAATCCTCGACCCCAAGTACGAATCAATCAACATCTCAGAAGAGAGTGATGCATACGAAATGGAAGAGGAAGAGGAAAATGAGCTCGATGTTGAAAACCTCGAAGGAGACTGGGTTCACTTCTGTCATCTTACTCAGAGCCCTGTTAAATTTGAAGACATTAAGTTCCCAACACTAAAAGATTCCAAACTGGCTAAAGACCATATCATTATCTGTGGAATCGTTGAAAATATTAGAGGGTTTGTAATTCCTCTGAGGACTCTCCATATCCGAAATCTCTCACCAATTGTAATATTCAATGAAGAAGAGCCAAGTCAACAGCTGTGGTCTCAGCTTTCAAGGTTTCCTCAGATCTACTTTGTCAGAGGCTCAGCTCTCAAAGAGTCTGATTTGGATAGGATTAACCTCGAGGATGCCAAGCAAGTGGTGATTTTGTCTCCAATGCTCGGAACCAAGAAGACAAATGAGTCATATTCCAATATAGGGAAAAGTAAAAAGCCTAAACAAACTCAAATAGAGACTGAAGACTCCATGCTCAAAGAAGACAACAAAGATGAAGATGCTATCAAGGAGAAGAAGGAAAAAGAGGAAGAAAATTTAATGGACGCTCAAACAATTTTTAAGTATAATATCATCAAGAAAAGACACAACAGCGTAAAGATCATCACTGAGTTGTACAGCCATGAAAATCTCGCCTATCTTGACGACCCGACTATTTATCATGTGATGAATGATTACGGCTATGATCAGACACCTACTTTCGCTGCTGGCCAAGTTTACTCATCAAGCTTGATGGACTCCTTAGTCTGCCAAGCATGCTACAACTCTGCTTTAATTACAGTCTTAAGGCAGCTAGTCATAGGAGAAGCCAGGAAATCATTCCAAAAGAAGAACATGATGATCTTCGGAAAGGAGTTCAACAAGATCAAGTCCAGCAATCTTTATCACGTTAAGGTACCCTCAAACCTTGTTGGAGAGAACTTTGGGACTCTATATAAAGAGTTTGCACTTGAGAAGCAGATGATACCTCTTGGACTGTATAGAACTGACATCATAATTAAAGAAAAAGAGCAGAAATAGCATCAATTATGTCGTTACGAACCCTGCATATGACTCTCCATTACGAGACAGCGACTATGTATTTGTATTATGTCATGACGACCCAGAGGAAATTAAGATCACAGAGAATGATGCTATAGATATAGAAGAAGATCTTATAATGCTTCCTAAGAACACTTCAATGTCTCAAAAGAAGAATCTCTACAATTCTACAAAGAGTAACCCTTCCCGCAAGGTTTCTCAGACTGAGAAAGCCTTGTTGAGGAAAGCAGAAGCTGCTTCTCTAAACCCAAATTCAAGCTCATTGAACTCTAATAATCCTCGCCCAGCTTTTACAACGAACAATAATTTTTACGCTAAGAAGGCAAAGCAGGAATTCTTGGAAGAACTGGGCCAGCTTCAGACACAGATTAGCAGGATGATGACTGACATAGTTTCCATTCATAAAGGTAAGCTCAAGTTTCAACTGTAGATCTTAATAAGAAGAGCACCTACATGATCAAGGATATATCAGAGGATCTGGAACAAGTCATGGAGAAAGTACTTGGCAATGGCATGTAGAGGTTTGAGCTTTAGTAGCACATGATCTCGAGGAACCTCTATGTGTGATACACTATACCTCCTCAACTCCATCCTTGAAAGTACTAGGGATTTTGAGCTTCCTTGGAATTCTAGAGACAAGGTGAGTTGGTGAACACATGCTCAAGAAGAGCCAAGATGTATCTTGCCAATCAAGAGGTACTCATACTCAATTTTCAATATATATATAATCATGGGGTTTTGGGGTTTTGGGGTTTTGGGGTTTTGGGGTTTTGGGG